TTTTTTTTTTTTTTGCAAATTCGAAAGAAAACAAAATTTTCTACATTAATAAGCCGCCAGTTTATTCATCAATTGATGAAATAAGTATTTTTCACTGAAGTGAAAAATATTTTTTTTACACTAATAAGCCGCCAGTTTATTCATCAATTGATGAAATAAGTATTTTTCAATGCCAAGTGTTTTTCACTGCTAAGCGAAGTGAAATTTTTCTATGATGAAATAATTTTCTACATTAATAAGCCGATAGTTTATTCATCAATTGATGAATTAAGTATTTTTCACTGCTAAGCGAAGTGAAATTACCTCTCTTAAGATGGCAGCCTGCTCTTCAAGCTGCTCAGTTTCCATTTCATCATCCGGAGATGCTGAGGTACTTGACGAGCCCGCCTCGATTGCTGCCTACTTCAGTTAGAAACAATGAATCATTCTATATGTAATAAAATCAAGTAATCAGAATTGAGTATAAATTTCATGATCCTAAAATGGATGATTGAACATAGAAACTCAACCAGGACTTACCTACAAAGAACGAAATGACAGTTGAGTTGAGCCCATGAGACAGATCTCGGCTCCAATATAAGATAGGCGAACACATCAAAATGGCTAACTAACTTAATATAGTTCATCCTCTCACATGTAAGAACATGGAACGATCGCATACTTTTAACAAATGGCTATTTGAAGAACGATTGGTCTTGCGTTAGGCTGGTCTAACCATTAGGCCGACATCATCTTTTAACAAATGCGCATACTTTCATTAGGAAATGTAGTAATTTACAAAGAACATGGGTTTCACTCTTGAGCAACCAGAATCAGGAAACTATGCAAAAATCTCACCACAAATTGCAGATCCTATTCCTATGAGAATAATAGATGCTAAATCAGGGTACAAGCACCAAAGCATAGCGTACAACCACCAAGGAAACACACGAAATAGAAACAGCAAAAACACACCTTCTGGGCATTCGAGATTGCGGCAAGGACAGACCTCAGGGACGAGACGGAGGACCTATACCTCAATCTAGCTTCGTCGAGGGCCCCACCTCCGACGTCGGAGCTGTTATGGAGGAGATGCTGAGGGTGGGACGAGTGGGCCGCCGAGGACGCGGAGGAGGAGTCCGAAAGCACGTCACCGTTCGATTGGTGGCCGTTGCTCACCGTGGCCGGGGGAGGATGATGTGGAGCGGTGGTGGACCAGAGGGAGGGGTTGCAGAGCTCGTCGTTCATGGCGGAGAGGATCAGGAAGGCGGCTCCGATGGTCTCCTCGAGGTACTTCTGGCCCTCGACGGCGAGCTCCTGGGTGGTTCTGGCGGTGTGGCCGGCGGAGGTGGGGGAGGAGGAGCTGAGGGTCGAGGGCTTGTCCTCCATTGTTGAGATGTGGAGAAAAGACTCGAGCTTTTGTTAGTCGGATTTATGGGTTGCGGGATTTTATCAGTTTTTTGAAATCAAAAGCACGACTTATTTGAGTTTTTGCGATTTTACCTAACTAATTTTTAGAGAAAATTTTGCCATTTTTTATATTAATTTTTTTTTTTTAAAAAAAATGTGGGTTTTTAAACTAATTATGATTTTATAGGAAATTATCACATTACATTTGTCATAAATCACACATTTCTTTACCCTCTTGACCTCTCTCTATCATTGGAGTTCTTCTTTTATGAAGATTTGGATTCGAATTGTCGTCTTTATCAGATCTGCCTAGTTGCTCTGAGTTTTGAATTGAAGTTTTTAGATTTGAGAGCTTTTGATCGACGATTTTAATATTGTTCCTGAATCGGGTGACCAAGTCGTGTGTTGGCTTGTCGGACCTGATGGTGTCGGTTTTAGTGGTTTTGCTTATTTGTGGGCGATTGTTGGATGCTCGGAGCCTTACAGTGT